TGTTATAAATAATAATAGTACATATTATTAATAACATGTATTATTATTAACATGTATGTTATTAAATACCATTGCCTCAATCACTGCCTCTACCACTCCAGTCACACTCAATCTACAAGCACCAAACACAATGAATTATTGTGAAATGTTTGGAAGAGCAGGGAGACTAATGTTCACTCCAGCATAAACAAAGTCACACTGACGATGTGTCAACCACTCCCTCGTATTTTTGTACAATTTCCTTCTTCAATTAATATTAATTATTTTATTTTTATATTATTATTATTATTATTATTATTATTATATTATTATTATTTTACTATTGTTATTATTAGCTGTAGCAGAAATGTTTAATTCTTTGCAGTGTTCAAGAGTAAACACATGATGTCACCGTCTAATACCTGTCCGAATAGCCATTCCAATATGCAGTCATGAATGGGTTTACATTATTTATTCTGTAGTTTAATAGCAAATAATGAACAAACAAAACACTCACCACACTGAGTGGTGGGAGGGCTGGCTGCCAGTTGCGGGGGTCGGAGGGAGGGTAGTAGGGACTCGCAGGTGGCGGGAAACTTAAATATGATTTGGCGGCTGGGAATTTCGCGGTTGGGAATTCGCGAATGTGTGAAGCCCGTGAAAGTTGAAAATGTGAATGTTGAGGGAGACCTGTACTTGTTGTGTACGTAGGGAATAATGACAATCAGGTTGTTCGTCTGTCGGGTTGTTAGAGGAAGAGGGTACTGAGTCAGGAGGACTGTCAGAGTCTGTCTCACTTGTCTGGATATTAGGAACCTTGTCATCACATACTAACTTCATATGATCTAAATGTGATTATACTGACCAGTACTGATTTCTCTAACTTTATACCTATTGCCACTGACATGTTCAACTACTCAATATGGACCAACAAACTTTTGATTGAGCTTAGGCATTGAGGATGTTTTATTAAAGTTAGTCAGCATAACTCTTGAACCTACTTTAATTTTGGTTGGCTTTGTTCGAGTATTAGTGACTTGTAAATTCTGCTGTTGATTTCTGAAGTGTTTCTCAGATTGTTCTAAAACCACCTTGAGCTAAGCTGATACGAGTTGCTATGAAATCATCAGGATTGTAATTTGGTTTTGGAAAAGGATATAACAACTCATATGGTAAATGCATAATGTGGAGTGTCACCAATAGAAGTACAGTGGACCCCCGCATAACGATATTAATCCGTTCCTGAGAGCTCATTGTTATGCAAAATTATCGTTATGCGAATGAATTTTCCCCATAAGAAATAATGGAAATCAAATTAATCCGTGCAAGACACCCAAAGGTATGAAAAAAAAAAAATTTACCACATGAAATATACATTTTCCTACACACAAAGAGAAGGATACATGCACAATAGTAGAGTAGTACATGCACAATATATATTGTGCATGTACTACTCTACTAAATGAAGAATAAATGACACCTTTATTGAAGATGCAGCAATGACTGATGAGACACTGTGTCCTGGGAGTGCCTTTTCCTCCTGAGTACTGTAGGTCTTGTTTGGCATTTTCTTCCAGAACATGCCTTATCACACTGTGTATGCCACTACGATTCTTAAATCTCTCAAACCAACCTTTGCTGGCTTTAAATTCACCAATATGAGCACTATTTCCAGGATTTTTTTCCTGTTCACCTGGGTGTTAGTCGACTGGTGTGGGTTGCATCCTGGGAGACAAGATTAAGGACCCCAATGGAAATAAGTTAGACAGTCTTCGATGACACTGACTTTTTTGGGTTATCCTGGGTGGCTAACCCTCTGGGGTTAATTGTTTCTTGGTATTCTCAATAAGCCACACCAACAACGGTGCTACAGCAGCAGCAGCAGCTGACAGTGCTACAGCAGCAGCAGCAGCTGACAGTGCTACAGCAGCAGCAGCTGACAGTGCTACAGCAGCAGCTGACAGTGCTACAGCAGCAGCAGATGATGCTACAGCAGCAGCAGACGTACTACAGCAGCAGCAGCAGATGGTACTACAGCAGCAGCAGCAGCTGATGGTGGTACAGCAGCAGCAGCAGCTGACAGTGCTACAGCAGCAGCTGACAGTGCTACAGCAGCAGCTGACAGTGCTACAGCAGCAGCAGACGGTACTACAGCAGCAGCAGCAGCAGCTGACGGTGGTACAGCAGCAGCAGCAGCTGACGGTGCTACAGCAGCAGCAGCAGCAGCAGCTGACAGTGCAACAGCAGCAGCAGACGGTGCTACAGCAGCAGCAGACGGTACTACAGCAGCAGAAGCTGATGGTGGTACAGCAGCAGAAGCAGCTGACGGTGCTACAGCAGCAGCAGCAGCTGACAGTGCTACAGCAGCAGCTGACAGTGCTACAGCAGCAACAGCATCAGCAGTTGACCATGGTACCACAGTATTTCGATAATATTTCTCACCCTTTTTACCACAGGGTTGGCACTGAAGCTTTCTTGGGGCCCATGGTTACTTATTTTGCAGATAAAATCACCAAAAACACTGTAATAATACGAAATGTTCCGATTGTATGCTTGGATGTTACCGTGGAGGCTGGCTGGTAAACAATGCCACCGGCGGAACATGTGAGGCTGGCTCAGGCCACACATTAGACGCGTCTCGGACGAATAGCGTTGAGCGGGTTTTTTAGCGGTATACGAGGCAAAATCTTAGCGATAAAATGTATCGGTATGCGGATTTAACGTTATGTGATGCCAACGGTATGTGGGGGTCCACTGTACGTATTGTAAGCAGAATTTATCGCACACTGGACCTCAGGTATAACTTCATCCCAGGTTACACTGTTGGGATTAACCCTTTGAGAATCCAGAGGCCAAATCTCAGTGTGACAGCCAGGGTTCAAGAATTTAAAAAAAAAAAAATTCTTACAGAATTAAAGATTATGTTTTTCTAGAGGTAATAAAACAAAAAATAAAAATTTTCCAATCAATACTTTCCAAGACATAGAGGCATGAAGTTGACCCTCAACGACTGGGTGGCGGCAACATCGGCGACTTCTGTAAAGTCACATATTTTTTATTTTACTTTTTTGTTACTTTTTCTTTTCTAATTTTTTTCTAGTAACATTTGTGACCCGTGAGACCAATATAATGCATAATGTACATATATATGTACACTTGTTGTCAACACAATAACTGCACTAATATTTTCGTCATTATAGTGTTCATAATGTTTGTTTACAACAAAAAAAATGCAAAAATGTTGTATATTAGTAATGTTCTATTATATCTTTACATATGTACAGTCACTGGATATGTTCCTAAAACTGCTGCAGTCTGTGAAAGTCTTTGAAACAAGGTGTCATGCACAGTGGTGTCTTACTCGTCTGTGGACCAGTATGATTTTATATTATGCTTATAGACATGAGGCATAAGCATTATTGTTGCAAAAAAGCAAATACATTTCAGCCACAGTTGTCTCCTTCCACCAGTGGATGACGATGCACTTTGTCCTGGACTGGCCGAGTCAGTGGCTTAGGCTCCAGTTTGGGCTGGTGCCACATGCTGTACGCTCACATGCTACATGCACGTGGCACCACCACCACCTACTGACGCATGTGGTGTATCCATCCCAATTGTAACCACATCATCGTCACTTTCACTGTCTATTCCAGGTGTAGGGCCACAGGATGTACTCAGTCCCCTTGCAATGTACCATATGGTACAGATACAGGGACCCCAATGGAAATATGTAAGTCACTTCATCTGACTTTTTTGGGTTATCCTAGGATCTTTATATATATGCTGCTATGTATGATAATCTGTGTAACTGTATTTGTGTATACTTGAATAAACTTTATTACTCACCCAAGCGCATGTGGGGTCGTAAGTAAATAAGTGTATTCAGGTATACACAAATACAGTTACATAGATTATTATACATAGCAGCATATGTGTGGCGAACCTAGGATAACCCAAAAAAGTCAGACAGTGTGACTTACTTCCATCAGAGTCCCTGTACCATATGGTTCAAAACCATAGAATTCCTCTTCAGATTCACTTCCATCAGTGTTAGAACTGTCACTTGGGAAAAAGAGAGTCCCAGTTTGCCTGGGAGTGAGAGCTTCCTTGCCACAAGGCATGATGAACAAAGCATACTGAGATGGCGTTCCCACAATGCAATGTGGATACCCCAGCTTCTTGTTTACTGCGCACACTGACCATGCAGACCCATTCTCTTAGATGTAAGCCTACCAGCCTTCTTGTGCTAAATTTTAAACCACTAGAATTCTGGCATAGTTCTGTGGCTTGGACCCTGGCTTCAATGATGTAGAACTATGTGACGGACCCTCAAAGGGTTAAGTGCATTTCTAATTCTGTATATTATACAGGATGTTCCAAAATCTCCATACATAGGGAAATTTAGCAGTTTTAGTAGAATGTAACTATTTACAGAATATTCTCTACATGATATCTATTTCTTTGTAAGCACACATGGATGCAGCTCTCTCATTCTTAGTGTGTGTACTTGCATTAACACATTTAGTCTGCAACACTTCCATTTTTTTTTTAATTTTGCAGTAAGTTTGTTGTGTGTGATGTGCTTAACATGTTTCCTTTTAAAGTTCATTGCAACCTGGCGACAGCTTCCCGATCCGGCCATGAGAATGATTTCTGTACATTTTTCTTTTAACAAAGGCATTTTTAAAGGGTATCTAAAAAACAGAAAAGAAATTAGCTATGTATGGAGACTTTTGGGACACCCTGTATTATGTATGTAATACCAACAAGTAGATGAGTAAGGTACATTTGCAAGAGTTTGGCTCCTCAGTGACAAAGATACAGCTTACTCATCTAATGCCATGTACCATTGCTAGTAGCCAAAGCAAGCCATAGTACTATACGAGTTTTTTTTTTTTTTACAATACCCACAATTTCTTGATTAATAAAATATTAGGGCCTCATAATGCAAAATGAGCTATTTTGATGAATTAAGCGCTGTATTATGTATTCTTTTAATTTGGGTTGAATGTTGTCTGCAGAGCTTGGAAGGTGTCGCCAGGATGGTGTGCATACCTTGCATCGTGGTGCCAGTTCTTCTCTTTATCTGGCACCGTTTCCTGCAACCAGTTTTCCTCACATTTTGGAATCCTTGGAGAAAAGTGACAGCTGGGACAGAAAAAAAGGGTGAAGAGAAAGAAGCCCCAAATGGGTGTACAGCATCAAATGGAGCAGCAGTTGCCAATGGTGATCTTATGTGTCCATTTTCTGGAAAAGAGACAGGGTCATCTGAAGCAGTAATTGAAGATAAGAAAAATGATTGAATGATGGGAATGCCTGCATTAGAAACATTTATATACAGTAATGTACAGATCAGCCATCACTAATCTGGCAATCAGTTATCCGGTTCCATCAATAATCCAGCACTAATTTCGGTTAGCATAATTTCAAATTTCATCATTATACTGACTTAGAAATTGTGCAGATGGTTGTAAATCCACAGTAGCAAGCCAGTGGAGGATGAAAATGAAGATGTAGTAGAAAGTCTCTCTCTGTTGATAGGTTAATTAAGTGTATTCTAACCTAGCCACTCTGTAATCCGGCAAACTCATTAATCTGGCACACTACAGGTCCCAATGACGCTGGATTAGAGATGGCCGACCTGTATATGTATTCAACTGGAGGAACTTGGCTATTATATGTGCTTTTAAGCATTACACATTTGTTGACACAGTAGAGCTGTATCAACAAATAAACCATGTACAGTGCAGGTACAGCATTTCTTTAATATTTTGTGTATTGTATCATGATGCTGCTATGTACTGTACTATATATTTTTGATCAGTGATCTTGTACATTGCTCATTCTCAAGCATTCTGGATTACTGATGCTCTATTGTAGTTGATAATTATATATTTGTACCTTGAGAATGTGTATTCCTACAGAAAGTTATTGTTTCACAGGCATTTGTAATATATTTTATTTTGCAAATGAAAACGTCTGCCTATTATTGTATAGATAAAATCAAAAGTATGTAGATGAGTAGTTAATTTTTCTGCCTTTTTTTTTTTTATCTTTATCACTAAGTGTGAATTTCCATGAATGGTCTTTCTGTGACAGCTATTTGTTTGCTCATCATCACCTATATAATGTAAAGGAAACTAGAAGATGACTTTTAAATCTGTACCTTCAAAGCTGATTATTTAATTATTTTTCATTTGTCTAATGTTTTCATGTGTTGCTGAATAGCAATAGCAATTGAAAATATGGAAGGACAGCAGTACTTTGTACAGCTTATTGCCTAGCAGTTGGCACTCATACTTTAGCTCTTTCTCAGAGAATAAAAATTATTTTGTCTTTTGATGCAGAATACATACGAGTGAAGATAAAACAGAAAGGCACAATAACGTGACTAGAAAAATATACAAATAACCCGCGTATAGGAGAGAGGAGCTTACGACAATGTTTTGGTCATCATAAGCTCCTCTCTCCTCATAGTATGACTTTGTAAATGGTCCGAGTCAAACTGAAACGTTGTCGTAAGCTTCTCTCTCTTATGTGTGGGTTATTTGTCTGCATATGAGTGTGTTCATACATTATAAGCCTATCACTATCTTTAAGTGTTTGAATCACAGCTCATAAAGGAATCCATAAAGGGCTTACCCACTGTTAATATTTTTGCACTTACATTTATCAGGACTCTTAACCCTTAACCCTTAAATGGTTCAAACATATATATACGTGTTTTCAACATCTGAAAGTATGTAAAAAAATGTAGATCTTTTTTTTTGTTTTACATGTGAAAACGTGTAAAAAAAACTTTTATCTACATTTTTTTTTGTTATATTTGAAAATATGTAAAAAAAAAAGTAGATCTACTTTTGTAGCACTACGAATTTGAACGTCGATCTGTTTGGACCGCTTAAGGGTTAAACTGTCCAAACGTAGATCTACGTTCACGTGCGTAGCGCTCCGGCCTTGATTTTCCCCATTTGAAAGTATTTAAAAAAGAAAAGTAGATCTACGTTTGGAGCCCCCCGCATGTGGACATAGATCTATGTTTGGACAGTTTAAGGGTTAATGGAATAAAAAGGTACAATGATATTGATTTACACAGGGTGCTAATTGCTGTTTGTATTTTGTTCTTGATGGTATAAGGTACATACTGTACTAATGTGCTGTTTAACCCTTTGACTGTTTCAGGCCCCTTTCTGAAACTGTCATTCTGTCGCTAAAGTTTTGAAAAAAAAAAAAATTATTTTTCTTATGAAATGATAAAGAATCTTTTCCTGATGGTAATGACACCAAAAGTTCGAAATTTGGTCGAAAACTCATGGAATTACGCTCCCGCGAAGTTAGCGGTCTCGGCGACATATGCGTATCAGCGATTTCGCCGACTTTAAGCCCTATTTTCAGCGAATTCCGTTGTTCCAGTTGACCAAACTCATAGCTATTTCTTTAGAACTCCATTTTATCTATCAGCTGAGTACAAGAAACCTCCCATTTACTAATTTGGACTACCCAATATTGTGGTCAGAAATTGGCAATTTGGCCAATTTCACGCAAACTAAAAAAGATGCCAATTTCAAAATAGGGTCCAGAATAAACAAGGTAGACATTCTTGGCACTAAAATAACATATCCTCTGTTCATTAGTCACATCTCTAGGCCCCTCTTATATTATTATTGCTTTCTATTTTGATTTTTTATTCATACAAAAAAATACAAAATTTACTGTTATGCAGATTACTGCATTGTTGTAAAAATGGTAAAAATAATATCAGTGCACTAGTGAAAGAATATTAGACTCCCCAGTTGACGTGTATTGGACGTGTGGTGTGATTTGTTTACTCCTAAACATTGGTAAAAATCGAACATTTCCGCTACTTTGAGCTCAGTTTCAAGGTCGTTTTCATCGTCAAAGTAATGAAAATCATCTCTATTTCTGTAATATGTTTTCCATTTTATCACCTAAGATCATGAAAACGCAAATACATCGATAAATACTGTACGAAAGTACACCTCAAAGTCGGCGTTTTAATCCAAAAAAACGATCAGTTTTTTTTTTTCTCATTACGCACTGTGTGCTGCAGGATTTTTTTTATGTGGTGCACACTGACCACACAGACCCATTCTCTCACATGTGGGCCTACCAGCTTTTTTCCGCTTGATTTGAAGCCGCTAGAATTATTGAGTATATACGTATACGTCAGAAACACTGGCTCGTAAGACGTATATATGCGACCAAAACAGTCAAAGGGTTAATCTTGAATTTTAATTTTATGATTTCACCACTTGCGAAACAACTTGGTAGCTAGTAGAACATTGCAGAAAATTTCATGTTTCCTTTGTTGACCTGTCACTGGTAAAACTCTTGAAATTAGAAAAAAACATAATTGTATACAGTATAAGTTAATGTTATATTCCTTCATATATTTATATGTATACAGTACATGTATATAAAAGTATGAAATTTAAGAAGTACTCCATTGAGTTTAAATATTTACTATATTTATCTTCAAAATTAAGCATGTTCAACATGTTTAATTTTATTTTATTATTTGTTTCAAATATTATTTCTGTGTCTTTATTGTTTTTCATGCTTCTTGATTGTATTCATGCCCACTACTTCATAAAATATTAAACTGAATTTGTGTTGTAAGAATATATTTATCAAATTAAAATTTTATTATTCACCTGTTTGGAAGAATTAAAAATGCCTTTATTACAAAAATTGTGCATTTTGTTGTCTAATTTTTTTGCACATTGCTTGATTAGATATACTTTCTGCATAACAAAAATCCAATGTGATTGATGCCAAGCAGTAGCGCTCTTACATATATTTTACTGATCTAAGAAATGTAGATTGTGTATAATACTCTATATATATTAGATATTACCTAGAGAGAGTTCCGGGGGTCAACGCCCCCGTGGCCCGGTCTGTGACCAGGCCTCCTGGTGGATCAGAGCCTGATCAACTAGGCTGTTACTGCTGGCTGCACGTAATCCAACGTACGAACCACAGCCCGGCTGGTCAGGTACCGACTTTAGGTGCTTGTCCAGTGCCTGCTTGAAGACAGCCAGGGATCTATTGGTAATCCCCCTTATGTATGCTGGGAGGCAGTTTGAACAGTCTCGGGCCCCTGACACTTATTGTATTGTCTCTTAACGTGCTAGTGACACCCCTGCTTTTCATTGGGGATGTTGCATCGTCTGCCGAGTCTTTTGCTTTCGTTGTGAGTGATTTTTGTGTGCAAGTTCGGTACTAGTCCCTCTAGGATTTTCCAGGTGTATATAATCATGTATCTCTCCCACCTGCATTCCAGGGAGTACAGGTTCAGGAACTTCAAGCGCCTCCCAGTAATTGAGGTGTTTTATCTCTGTTATGCGCACCGTGAAGGTTCTCTGTACATTTTCTAGGTCAGCAATTTCACCTGCCTTGAAAGGTGCTGTTAGTGTGCAGCAATATTCCAGCCTAGATAGAACAAGCAACCTAAAGAGTGTCATCATTGGCTTGGCATCCCTAGTTTTGAAGGTTCTCATTATCCATCCTGTCATTTTTCTAGCAGATACAATTGATACAATGTTATGGCCCTTGAAGGTGAGATTCCCTGACATGATCACTCCCAGGTCTTTGACGTTGGTTTATCGCTCTATTTTGTAGCCGGAATTTGTTTTGTACTCTGATGAAGTTTTAATTTCCTCGTATTTACCATATCGGAGTAATTCACCTTGTCTATAAAAGACAAGGTGAACTATAGAATAAATAGATGAAAAGGGGGAGGGGAATGTAGATGATAGGTTGAGACATCTGTAGAAAAAAGTTTATCTGGGGAACAGGATTAAAGAACCCCAGTGGAAATATGAGAGTCCTTGATGACTTTTTTCAGTTATCCTGAGTGGCTAACTCTCCTGGTTAAAAATTCAAGCAATTCTTATTTTAACTTCCCAAGGTGGAATGCCTCATCTTAATAATATTCTTTCTTATAAGTGTTAACTCAAAAATAAAGATGGGATCAGTGAATAAAAATCTTTCAACAAACTGGCCGTATCCTACCGAGGCAGGGTGGCCCAAAAAGAAAAACAAAAGTTTCTTCTTGTATATTTAGTAGTATATACAGGAGGTGTTACTATTCCTTCACTCCCGGCATTTTGTCACCTCTTAAGACGTATGGTTTACAGAGGAAGAACTCTGTTCCACTTCCCCATGGAGATGAGAGGAAATAAACAAGAACTAGTAAGAAATAGAAGAAAAACCATAGGGGTGTGTATATACATGCTTGAACATGCATGTGTAGTGTGAACTAAGTGTAAGTAGAAATCACAAGACGTATCTGAAATCTTGCATGTCTGTGAGACAGGAAAAAAAGACACCAGCAATCCTACCATCCTGTAAAATAATTACAGGCTTCTGTTTTGCGCTCGGCAGAATGGTAGTACCTCCCCAGGCAGTTGCTGTCTACCAGCCTACTACCTAGAAGTACATAAATAAAAATTTATGGACAAAAATAAAATGAATACTCAAAGCGCCCATGGGATGTTTCTGAAAATGGTCACTGAGAAGGATGACAAAAAATAATCCCGTGTGTTAGCAGTATTTTGTAAGAAGGCATGATAAGCTGAAAACCCTAAATCTTTGCTCTCTAGAGAAGTGTAAATTTAATGGGGATATGATAAGCATACACATATGGAAAATATGAATAAATAAGAAGGAGGTAAATAAAGTTGGAGTGAATGATGGTGAAAGCATTTCTTATTCAGGTCACACTACCTCAGTGGTAAAAGGCCAGTGTGTTAAAAAAAAAAAAAATCTATCCAGGATAAGATTTAAGTTGGATAAAAAATATTTAAAAGAATACTGTATAGAAGAGGATTAGTTTAGCAATGGAGTTATAAATTTGCCAAACAAATTGCCAAGTTCAGTGACATTGTGACAAGAATATTGGGTAGCTTGAGAAAAAATGATGAACAAGTAGTATACATGTACTTGAGTGGGCATGAGTAACACCTGGCTAGCATAAGCTAGGAGGATTACTTCAATGCTCTTTTATTTTATTTATATGTCTCATTCAGTTTCCCCCTATTTGAAGCTGTTAACCCTGGTATACCCTGTGTTAATTTTTTTTTTTTTTTGTATTATGAAATTCATTATATTTTTGTATATAACATTTTGGTGCAGGTGTGATATATTAATTTTTTGTTATTAAATCTCCAGAAATGTGGATTTTTTAAGATGCCTGTTGTCTTTGCTTGACACATGGCCTCTAAATGAAAAAAACATGGACAGGATTTTATTTATAATGTGCACACCGGGTTTTCCCATGCCTAAATCTCTTGTTTTAACATATACGAATGCCAATAAGATTAGTGTGATATTTTGTAAGATATGGCTTATACTCAGTTTGACAGAGTAATTCACTGCAGTGTTTGTTGGTATGTGCATGCCAAACACACTGCCACACCTTGCTTCCAGATTCAAGAGTACATTTTCAGTTTTTTTTTTTTTTTTTTTTTTTTGTGAGCTTGAGGTTTACAGGAATGTAACACCATGAGATTCAGAAGCATTGCTGCCTCCATATTCACTACATTTTCAGTTGCTAACTTTGTTCTTGTATAAAAAGGGTAACTTGTAAAGAATTCAGCCTGTCGTGGTTTGCAGGATCATTACTGTTGGGATTCTAGTTTTGTGGCAGAGCATACAAACTATTTCAACCCTTTCTTCAGTATCCTAAAATGCTTGCTTTGTCTGCCTGCCTCTCTGATGGTCCTAATTCTGCTGCAGACACATTCTGCTTTCCTAATTGACAAAGATTTCCTTCATCAACTCCCTTCACCATCCTTTTAACTGAGGTTTTTTCCTCATTATCTCTGGCTCTCCTCTCCCATCCTCTCCTCTGTCCTGGAATGCAGTTCTGTATGACCCTTATGGGTTTAACACTTCCATGAATATACTGTATGATAATCCACTGTTGTGAGAAATGCCTGACATCCCATCCCATCCTTTTTCCTATGCACAGATTTAATGTAATACATAGTGTACCTTATTCAAAAGCTCCTGTGATTTGAAGCAAAATATAATGCTGCATTGCTTTGTTCTTATATATACGTACATGTATATGGATGTGTAAACATGCATGTAGCAGGCCCAACGCTGTAACCACTTAGTCTTTTACAACCAGCACTTCTGTAACATGGATATATCGATGGCACTGATTGTGATTCTACTGTTTCATCTGCCCAAGACTTTCGTGGTACACCTATTCTCATACTCCTAAAAGCCAGATAGTTCATAAACCCAAAATAAGATGTAATGAACCTCTGTCACCAACTAAGCAGAAGAATGTCTTGCCAGAAGTAATGAAGAATTACAGTACAGTATATGAACATGTTTACAGAGAGTGCAAAAGTCCTAATCAAAATAAGCACAAAAAATGACTGTGCATCTCTCCTGGAGGACCTGGACAGATTGAGGAAGTGGAGTGAGACAGAGATGGCAGCTTTTAATGTGGATAAATTTCATACTATAGAAATGGGTGAAAGTGAAAACAGGCTTCACACAGAATACATACTGTGTAACAAAACACTGAAGCCCTCCAAGAAACGAAAAGTCCGAGAAGTTACCATTACTGTAATTAAAGTTTGTCAATGTAAAATCACAAACAAAATACTGTACTGAGAAATTACTGTTACAGTACTCTATATATTGTCAGTGGAGGAAATATAAAAAGTTCAAACCCCCATGTTAGGCTAAAACTGGAATATGCAATGGTATTATGGTGTTTTATGACAAAATATAATAATAAACAAGCCAGGAAAAAGTGCAAAATAGGTACGAATTGCCCCAAGAGCTAAAAAGTATGAAATACAAAGAAAAGCTGAAAGCGTCGGATATTACCCTACCTGTCCGAATTTTGCTGTATACGTATATCATTGAAAGCAAAGCTAAATGTTTAAATGGTTGAATGAATATACAGTACAGTACTGTATATAAAATATACATTATTCATATTTTTTTCAGATTCTGTTTTATACAAGTGTACATCTTTATTCATTGAGAGTAAACATTTTTTGCTTGATCTATGGCATGCTTACAGGTGGATATGAACCATGGCTGGTACAGTATGCAGCAAGTCTAAAGAAGCAGAGACTTTTCCTGACACACTTGCTGCCTTTGGATATCAATTTGATAAAGGTAGTACTGTCTGTGATTGATCTGTGTTTGTAGCTACAGGAGCAGAGCTTTGTATTTGGGTCCCTGTGTATTCTGTGAAGAAAAGCTTACTAGTAAGCTTTTAGCATTCTGATTCTTTCTCTGGTCCTCCCTGATGGGGTTGATTATATGTAATTTATCCATTTTCTCAAATTTGTTTATGATCTTGTATGTAATAATGCTAATAATAATAATACCAATACTAATGAAAATGAAATGAAAATGTTTATTTCTTTGCAAAGCTTACAATGTGTGGTTTACATATACTGTAAAATATTAATTACAAAGACCACTAGCATGCCTAGGCATTTTGGGCAGAATAATCATAATTCTTACTCTATAATGATGCAGGTTATGGAGCAGTACATTCTAATATACTTATTGCACACTAATATAAGTTAGGTAACTGAAGTGATTAATTAGATTTATAATAGTGAGGTAGTACAAAACATATAACAAAATTACAATTAGCAAATTTAGTAATGGGAATGGTTTTGTCTTGGCATTATACACTGTTTCTATTAAAGCTCCTCTACTGGGAGAGCAGCTTGGGCAAACTTAGGACTAACTTAAGATTTATTAGGCAATAGCTATATGTATTAGGATTTGTATATTTACAGTCATTTGGGAAAGTGTAAATTAGGGGGAATTACAGTTAACGAGAGTAAATCTATTTTGTTTTGGATGTGTTCATGATACAAAAAGAGTATAGGTGGTTTTCACATACCTGATGATGGGATGTGTTAGGGAGATAAGATTTTTTTAATGGTAGTTTTGAAAATGGTGGTTGAGTCTGCAGCTCTAGAGTTTTCAGGCAGGGAGTTCTAGATTTTAGTCCCTTTTGTGTATCAAATTTTTGTAGAGATTTAGCCAGACACAAGGAATGTCAGAGATTTTTGTGTCTGGTATTGTGTCTATGGGTCCTGTTGCAACTATCAAGAAAGTGTTTTAGTTCAGGGTTAATATTAGAATTTATGGTTCTGTAAATGTACGTTGCACAGTAGTAGGTGTGAATGTTTTGTACAGTGAGTAAGTTTAGGTCATTGAAGAGTGAAGGTGGGGGGTTCTCTAGCATTGGATTGTGTGATAATTCGTACTGCAGCTTTTTGTTGGGTTATTATTGGCTTTAGGTGGGTTGCTGTTGTTGATTCCCAGGCACAAATAGCACAGGTGAGGTAGGGATAGATGAGTGAATAGTATAGTGTGAGTAGGGCTGATTGTGGTACGTAGTAACATATCTTGAAAGGATCCCAACTATTTTGGTTACTTTCTTTGTTATGTGTTGGACATGGGTTTTGAATTTCAGGTTGCTGTCAAGGTGAAGACCCAGGAATTTGCCCTCATTATATTTAGCAATAAGTGTTGTCAATCATAATGTTCAGCTGGGCATCACCTGTTCTGCTCCCAAACATAATGTAGGTTTTGTCAATATTAAGTGTAAATTTATTGGCAGTCATCCAGGTCGATATTTTAACTAGCTATTCATTAACAATAGTGTTGAGTGAGGCAAGATTAGGGTGGGAGATGACATAAGTCATGTCGTCAGCAAAGAGAATAAATAGGTTTAAGGTGTTGTGATACATTAGGAAGATCATTGATAACAATAGTAATAATAATAATAATAATAAATAATAATTTATTTTCAGTGAAAGCATATGTGTGATGCCATTTTTTGTCAAGCACCCTTAGTAAGCGCATTATTCTGGGTTATACTAGTTACACTGGTTATACTAAAAATAATACACAAGGGTAGAGCTATTTTAGTTTATGAATTTAGTACAAAGCATTGACAGACAAGATGGGAAAAAATATAGAGTATGGCCATCTCCCATCAAGGCAGGATGACCCAAAAAGAGAAAAAAAAAAAATGTTCTCCATCATTCATTTAGTTGTTATCTCGTCAGAAGTGTGTTAACATCACAATTCCAATCACCTTACTGCAACATACCCACTCCTCCTACAGAGTGCAGGCACTGCCCTTCCCACCTTTGGGACTCAAGTCTGGGTATCCGATTTTCCTCAGTTCTTTCATGAGTGTTACTGTGCTCACACTCCAACAGCATGTCCATTATACAACTACTTGTTGCCATTCACTCCTATCTAACACACTCACACAAGACTGCTGGATGCTAAAGCCCTTCCAGCCCAGGTTTATACACCTTCCTCATTCTATCCCTCACCATCCTCTCTACAGACCCAAGCCCTCTCAACATACCCCCTTCCCTTCAACCCTCTGAATTATACCCTTAGTAACCCCATACTGCCTTGATATTCCTTAGTTCTGAAATAAATGAACAAATAAAAAAAATTAGTAGGTTGAAGAATAAGTCATACCATGGCTGGAACAATTCACAAATAGTTTCTTCATTTGATTGCTATTATTTTGCACCAGTTCTTTCCATATGTACAGCATACTGATGCTTAATGATAATACTTTGTGGTCTAGTAATGACACGTAGATGGAAGCAAGACATTTGAAGGAATATTTTGGCTATATTTTTTCTGCCAGAAGTTATGAAAAGGGATCATAGGTCTTGGCCAGTATATTATGGAAAGTATTCCTGTTGCTGTATGACTCACTTGGGTTTAGTACTTTGTGAATATAATACTCATTATGGGCATAGAGTAAGATATAATGTAATCAATGAAAGTATAAAATACAAAACAATGTCCTTTTTTTCCATACATTTACAGTACAATAATATTTATATTTACAGATACAGTACAGTAATGTGTTTACATATGTACAGTGGCAGATCGACTATGAAACTAATGAAGCTAAAGTGTCAGGGGCCCTTAATCCCAGAGGACCCAAGAGAGACTTTAGTCATTGCTTAAAAATTTGGCAACTGTATGAGTTTTTTTTTAAATAATAATATTAATAATATAGTGTAATTTAATACAAATAATAGTTAAAATAAAAATTAAAAGGTTGCTGGTTACGATGGGACCCCCCCATAACAATTCAAGCTTCAGGGCCCCAAAAATGTAGGACTGTCACTGTATACATATACAGTAAATGCCCGAAAAAGAAAAACTTTCACCATCATTCACTCCAATCACTGTCTAAGCACTTCTGGAAGACAGGTGATGGAGTATGATGGGAAATTATTCTGTTTCGGGCCCCAACCATGGTGGGAATCGGCCAGTGTGATAATAAAAATAATAAAAAAATAATATCTTTTTCATACACAATACAATAATATCTTTTCAATATTTCACTCCTGTTATTTATTGAGTGTAGGAGCATTTCTAAACCAAAACTGAAATAATCATAATGTAACATGAAAATAATGTTATAATTTTCTTAAAAAGTATGTTATATTTTGCTATAAAATTTGTAACAAGCCTTCTTTTTTTACACAGATGGAAAGTTGAAAAATATAGAAACAGGAGAGGAGTTTGAATTCGTAGTTCGAGAGGGAGACCAAAATTATAATCAGAAACACTACGAAGCTCTTGGTGAGGTGAGATTTTTTTTTTTTAAGATGTCAGTTATCTCCCACTGAGGCAGGGTGACCCAAAAAAGAAACACTTTCACCATCATTCAACACTCTCACCTTCATTCACACATAATCACTGTTTTTGTAGAGGCACTCAGATGCGATAGTTTAGAGTCACTCCAAACAGCAGATATCCCAAACCCATCCATTAAAGTGCAGGTATTGTTTTTCCCACCTCCAGGACTCAAGTCCGGCTAACTGGTTTCTCTTAATCCCTTCACAAAATATTACCCTGCTCAATTCTGCTGAACTCTTATGAGCTATACAGTGCCAAGGAAATGGGAGGCAATCAGGTTCAGCCCAATGATGGATCAATTGCCCTTCACTGGCATTAAGGTATCCCAGCCCAGTCCGTCCCTCCCTTGAATGGATTTTTGTTTTTGTTGGTAAGGTAAGATGTTCAGCTTCTTTGTGAATAACTGAATGTAACTGAGTGATATGGATGAAAGCAAATTTAGGACATTTATATTTCATGCATTTCAGTTCTGGGACCTGGGAAGGATGAAGGACCCAGAACAAATGTATCCGATAAAATTGTCCAAAGTGGATGCACTTGTGTTCTTTCATCCGTATTGCTGTAATCATTTTCCCTTTTGTTTTCATAATTGACTGAGTTTCTTTCAGTGTTATATTTTATTGTTCAGCTGTGTTCGTCAGTTGTATTTTATTATTGGCTTGTGTTCAACTGACTTTCTTAATGTTATACAATAATTTATTATTCACTGTATTCACCAAATGGCCACCATATCTAGTAGCCTTGGGGATAACAAGGAGCTTGCATCTGTGAGGCTGCCTAACATTTCTGTTTTTTTTTTTTAATTTTTATTTTTATAATGAACAAAATAATTTCAGGTCCTGACAGAAGAGGTGTACAAACTTCTCGAGACAGATTGTAAACTAAAAAGATGTCCAGTCCCTCATGATGCCAAGGATGGTGAACCAAACACATTTATTTTTATGTCTGAAGATGCAATGACGAATCCAGACAAGATCTTAGTTTTGATCCATGGTAGTGGAGTGGTTCGTGCTGGACAGTGGGCCCGAAGGTTAGTGTATGCTGCCCAGTATTTCACACGTTTACATTTTTAGTGATCACATTGATAAAAAAAATTCAAGCATACCTAATCTAATATTCCCCACAGTAGTCTTCTGTGAGATGCACTTATGGTAAACTTATTATGAGTGCAATTATAATAAAGATTATAAATTATTTATGTCATAAAATAAGGTAGTGCAGCATAACTTGCTGTGCCAACACTAAAGGAGAGAGAGTTTTTTTGTCCTGGGATGCAACCCAATAATAGAACTGGAATGTGAAATCCAAGCATCCTCAGTGATGGAGCAGATTAGAATGTCCTGGTTCATACAAGGTGAATCAGTGTAAATGTTAACAAATATATTACTGCATCAGCAAAGGAAGGATCAAAAACATCACAAGATAAAACACTGTTTTCTTTTTTAAGAATTGAAAAAAAAATGCTTAGCTTACTTAACTTCATACTAATTAGGTATCCCCGAAGTGGTACCTTTAAGTGGGTGTCAAAATTTTTCTTCTGCCTCCACTTGGAGCTGTATAGCATTTTAATTTACCAGTTTTATTAAATTGGTTTCCATGTACTACATATCTATAGAATGCCTCCTTTGATTGACTTCAAACATTAAGCAATTGTGTCTGATAAGTGGAAGTCTTCTTGTATTGAATTTGGGCAGAATAGGTACCAATTTGCTAATTTTACTGAAAAAAATGTAAAGTTGGACTTTCTTTAACCCTTTCAGGGTTTCGGCCGTACTAGTACGGCTTATGTACCAGCGTCCACGATGTACTAGTATGCCTAAATTCTAGCGGCCTCAAATCTAGTGAGAGAAAGCTGGTAGGCATACATATGAAAGAATGGGTCTATGTGGTCAGTGTGCACAGTATCAAAAACATCCTGCAGCACACAGTGCATAATGAGAAAAAAAAATTTGACCGTGTTTTTGGATTAAAACAGCGACTTTGCACTGTATTTTCATATGGTATTTATTGTTGTATTCTAGTTTTTCTGGTCTCATTCTATAGAATGGAAGACATATTACAGAAATTGAGATGATTTTGACTGATTTTACAATGAAAAGTACCTTGAAATTGAGCTCAAAGTAGTAGAAATGTTCGATTTTTACCAAAGTTCAAAAGTAAACAAATCATGCTAAGCGTCCAATACACGTCAACTGGTGAGTCTAATATTCTTTCACAAGTGCGTCATATCATTTATACCATTTTTTATGCTAATGCAGTAGTCTGCATAACAGTAAATCTTCTATTTTTTGTGAGAATAAAATTCAAAGTGGAAAGCAAAAGAATGTAAGAGGGGCATTGGGACGTGACTAATGAACAGAGGAAATGTCATTTTAGTGCCAGGAATGTCTTTTCTTGTTTATTCTGGACCCTATTTGGAAATTGGCATCTTTTGAAATTTGTGTGAAATTGGCAAAATTGCTAAATTCTGACCACTGTATTGGATAGTTGAAATCGGTAAATGGGTGGTTTCTTGCACTCATTCGATAGAAAAAATGGAGTTCTAGCAAAATATTCATGATTTTTGTCAACTAGTACAGTGGAATTGGCCGAAAATAGGGCTCAAAGTGGGCAAAAGCGCCAATGCGTAAACATCGTCGAGACCGCTAACTTCGCAAGAGCATAATTCCGTAAGTTTTCCATCAAATTTCGTACTTTTGGTGTCATTATGATTGGGAAAAGATTCTCTATCTTTTCATAAGAAAATTTTTTTTTTTTTTTTTTTTTGAAATTTGGGCGACCCTGAGAACAAAGTCTCTGAGAGGGCCTGTCGACCCTGAAAGGGTTAAAGCAATCCTGAATGGCATTGGTCTTTAATGGCTGATGCATCATGCAAAAGAGATGAAATGTTTTTTGGGGTTTAGGCTGTGAGTGTGAATTTTGTTGGATGCTTCGCAGTCTGATAAAATTTGTACCTACACAGTTTAAACCCCCCTAAAAACATTCATCCATTTCATACAAAAAATTCTTGCAAGCATTTTTTTTTCAAGAACAGCTAGAATAATTTTTGAACATTGTGCTGTAAAACTGGACTTAGAATTTTCTTTTAATATAACATGAATGGTTAGCAGAACTTATGTAAGTTTTGACGAGGCTCTTTATTTTTCAGATTGGTTATAAATGACTCACTAGACTCAGGGACACAGATTCCATTTATCAAGAAAGCTCAAGAAGAAGGTTATGGTGTTGTGGTAATGAACACAAATGACAATTATCGGGTCAACACAAAAAAGAAAAGGGACAGAATCAGGGTAAGGAAACCATTTTCAGTAAACTGGCAAATATTTGCTGGAGTGTCTTCTTTAACCCTTTCAGGGTAGGTGCCGTAGAACTACGGCATAGAGTGGAGCTCTATGCAGTAAGTGTGCACCATATAAAAAAAAAAGTCCTGCAGCATGCAGTATATAATGAGAAAAAAACTGCAGCCATGTTTTAGGTTTAAAACAGTGATTTTGCAGTGTATTTTCATATGGTTTTTATAGTTATATTCTTGGTTTCTTGGTCTCATTTGATAGAATGGAAGATATATTACAGAAACAGAGATGATTCTGATTAGCTTCAGAACTGAAAGTAGCTTGAAATTGAACCCAAAGTAGCGGAAATTTGATTTTTGCCGATTTTCTAGAGTACACAAATTATGTGACACGTCCAGTATGCGTCCAGCTGGTTAACTGTAACATCCCCAACCCTTCAGAATGCAAGCACTCTGTTTCTCATTTCCAGGACTCAAGTCCAGCTAAGTGGTTTTTCCTGAATTTCTTAATAAATGTTACTGTGTTCACATGCCAACAGCATGTAAAATTTGTGAAACCAATTTTTGCAGTATATTTGTTTACATTATTCCTTTTTACAATCTTGATTACTTACTTTGCTTTTCAGGGCAGTGAGAATCCAGAAAATCATGCTTTGTATGTGTGGGATAACTATATTAAAAAGTGCAAGTCCAAGCATATTGCCCTTGTTGTACACAGTTATGGGGGATGTGTCACCACTGCTCTGGTAAGTCATCAGGCATTATTTCTGGTTTAGTCTTTTATGACACAAGTTCATCGTGTTGTAGTTGTTGGGTTAGTTAGGCGCCCCCAAAGAGATGGAGGAAGGAAGAGACAGGAGGAGGAGGGAGGGTGGAAGGGAAGAAGACACAGGGAGGGAGAAGGAAAGGAAGAGGCAGGGAAAGAGGGTTGGATGGAAGAAAAAACCAGACAGGAGGAGAGAGGAATTGTAGTTCACAGCTTGAAGTGCCAAATTCACAAAATAGATGTGAGAGAGTGAATGCAAGAAGTATTTGCCTAGTTATAGCTACAGGAGCCAAACTAATCTTGTATTTCTCTTTAGTATTTAGTCACTCATATAATTTTGTTTAAATTTCCAGTGGTTGTAGAATTTGCTCTCTCTTGTAACCCATTCCATGGTTTTACCACTCTGTGAAACTCTTTTTAGTATCCTTTTACCACCTTCTCTTTTTTAGTTTATAACTATGACTATTTGTTTTGCCCATTTAAGGCATGAAGAAATCTTCCTTATCTGTTCTTTTGTATCCCTTTATAACATTTCTGTGAGCCCCTGGGGCCTATCCTTTGAGTATGTTGTGTCTCATTCACAGTAAAACATATGTCACAGACCCAGCATGGTCTGTATCCCATCATACCATTGTTATAGGTGATCCATTCACCACATATCTAGTTATGACCAACATCAGCTGGGAGCCTGGCAAAGCCAAGCACTCCAATCGTAATTCATTTTTGCTCATATCATTAGCTCTTCTGTCTCTTTGCATTAGGTATTGGTTTCTAGTTGATGTAGCACAGAGCCGCATTGGCCGTATCCCACCAAGGCAGGGTGGCCCAAAAGAAAGAATGTAAGCGTCTCCTTTTACATTTAATAATATATACATGAGAAGGGGTTACTAGCCCCATGCTCCTGATATTTTAGTTACCTTTTATGACATACATGGCTTACAGAGGAAGAATTCTGTTCCACTTCCCCATGGAGATAAGTGGAAATAAACAAGAACAAGAACTAGTAAGAAAAGTAGAAGAAAACCCAGAAGGGTGTGTATATATCTACTTGTACAGGCATGTGGAGTGTGGCCTTAACGCAAGTAGAAGTAGCAAGGTGTACCTGAAATCTTGCACGTTTGTGAGATAGAAAAAAAACACCAGCAATCCTGCCATTGTTATGCAGTGTGCTTCAGTAAAATTTATATAAAAAAATACTTTATAACTCCAGTATTATTCTGAATCCGGACGTGTTTTATTTCTGTCAGTCAGGCAGTGGCCAGGACAGGAACAGACGAGGTGTTGGGGAGTTAGTACGAGACGAGTGGTGACAGGGTGAAGTCATCATGTTTGGGTGGTAGTGTGAGTAGGTAATTTTAATTTTTTTAGTGTATACTATTTTGTTAGTGTTTAAGTGCTCTTATTTATCTGTAAGGCCCTAGTATGCAGAGGCTTGTTTATGTGAGAGTACTGTATGGTGTTTTTGCCTGCTGGTGACTAGTCTACCAGGCAGTAGTGAAGGGGGGGTGTATGTCATGGAGCCTCCCTGTTTATATATTTTGTTTAACTCACTAGTAGCAGTGTGCTAGTGAGCTAATGTGAACGGAAGTTAAGGTGATGTTGTAGTGGAGTAGATTATAAGTTGTATATAAGTTACTATTATTAATATATACGTATGTATATTTTTCATAGGTAGTAGGTTGGTAGACAGCAACCGCCCAGGGAGGTACTACCGTCCTGCCAAGTGAGTGTAAAACGAAAGCCTGTAATTGTTTTACATGATGATAGGATTGCTGGTGTCCTTTTTTCTGTCTCATGAACATGCAAGATTTCAGGTATGTCTTGCTACTTCTACTTACACTTAAGTCACACTACACATACATGTACAAGCACATATATACACACACCCCTCTGGGTTTTCTTCTATTTTCTTTCTAGTTCTTATTCTTGTTTATTTCCTCTTATCTCCATGGGGAAGTGGAACAGAATTCTTCCTCCGTAAGCCATGCGTGTTGTAAGAGGAGACTAAAATGCCGGGAGCAAGGAGCTAGTAACCTCTTCTCCTGTATATATTACTAAATGTAAAAGGAGAAACTTTCGGTTTTCCTTTTGGGCCACCCCGCCTCGGTGGGATACGGCCGGTGTGTTGAAAGAAAGAATGTATATTTTTGTAGTAGGTGAGTTTGTTTGTCCTTCCATATACAGTGGCCCCCTGCTTAACGATCACCTCCCAATGTGACCAATTATGTAAGTGTATTTATGTAAGTGCATTTGTACGTGTATGTTTGGGGGTCTGAAATGGATTAATCTACTTCACAATATTCCTTATGGGAACAAATTCGGTCAGTACTGGCACCTGAACATACTTCTGGAATGAAAAAATATCGTTAACCGGGGGTCCACTGTACTATATTAATTATTTGCACTCATGCTTCATAATTTGTATGAGTGCATGCTGGCCCAAGAGTTGCCATGTATCTTTAGTGTAATTTAAATGCCCCTAGACAGCAGTTTGAGCATCCATTTAGGAGCCAGGACCATCTTATTTAAGTTACAATATCGAAGTCGTAACAACCATCATGTAAAACAATTACAGGTTTTTGTTTTACACTCACTTGGCAGGACAGTAGTACCTCCCTGGGTGGTTGCTGTCTATCAACCTACTACCTAGGTTTAGTGGATATTCTCTACATTAAATGGTTAGCCAGGAGCTGAAAACAATCACTAAATACAAGGCAGCCCAATTACATTACCAAAAATATAACAGGGCACTTCTTGCATTGACAGTAATCAGCAAGGTATGCATTGTCATTTTTGCATCCATTAACAGATAACTTCTGTTTTTTTTTTTTTTTCCTTTTTTTTATTGTAGGACTGCCCAGTATCTCAATAATTTATTGCTTCCAGACTTCTGCTTTCCATTCTGACCTCAAATTTTCTCTTCTCTATCATCATTTTGCATGTAAAAGGTTGTAATTAATTCCTGATCATTTAATGCTAAAATAATAAATTAGTTTAGTTAAATAAATTTTCCTATGTGCTATTTCAGTTTATGCGGAGAAAGGAAGAATTTATAAAGCGAGTGTTTGCAGTAGCCATGACAGATTCTGTCCACTTCATCTCCAGTCCTGCAACTTTCAAGGAATTAGTCAGAGTAAGTACAATGCCTGCACTTTAAAGGAGGAGTCTGGGATATTAACAGTTTGGAGGGACTTCTAAACTGTCGTATCTGAGCACCTCTGCAAAGACAGTCATTATGTATGAGTGAGGTGAAAGTGTTAAATGATGATGAAAGTATTTTCTTTTTGGGAATTTTCTTTCTTTTTGGGTCACCCTGCCTCGGTGGGAGACGGCTGACTTGTTAAAAAAAAAAAAAGTGTTTTTCTCACCGTTTGGGGTGTCTAAACTTGGAAAGTGCATGAAGGCACTTTATCACTGTTGAGGAATTTTTTGAGGGATGGGGGTGGATAGAGATCTAAGCATGTGTAAAATTGAAGAAACATACTATAATGGTAAGAATTAAAGGTACAGTCTACTAAGCATTATCCTTATACAACACTAGCTGAATAATCCATCATTGCCCAGGTAAACTTTGTTTCTCATAAGTTACAAATTTAAAAACACTGAAAAAATTTTCTACTGAGGGTTTCTAAAGTCTTTTTCCCTGCACCCACCTTGGTGTTGGAAACTTGCACCCCTACACTTGCCTTGTCAAGAGGCAGATGTGGAGCCTTTGCATCCTCCTTGTCTTATTAAATATTTTTCATTTTCTGTGGTCTTTATGTAAATACCTTTACCATAGTGGTTTCATCCTCGATTCAATCCTTTGAGTCTGTTCCCTTCCTCTTAATTTTACCCAGTCTGATTGAATTGCAGGTTTCCTGCAATTGGGTTTGCAGCCAGCGTCCACTAGACACTCCAGTTTCCACACAGCCAGGAGACATCAAAAGGGTATCCTCAGGTATGTATTCAAGTAAAATGTTAAATATGTAATACAATATGTGTGAACATGAAGAAAGGGAGGCGGTAATTTCATGCACTGGCCAGGGAGGTATACCATCTTTTAGGAGTGAAGAAGAGCAGAATGTAAGTGTGGTGGAGGTACGTGAGGCATTACGTAGAATGAAAGGGGGTAAAGCAGCTGGAACTGATGGGATCATGACAGAAATGTTAAAAGCAGGGGGGGATATAGTGTTGGAGTGGTTGGTACTTTTGTTTAATAAATGTATGAAAGAGGGGAAGGTACCTAGGGATTGGCGGAGAGCGTGTATAGTTCCTTTATATAAAGGGAAAGGGGACAAAAGAGATTGTAAAAATTATAGAGGAATAAGTTTACTGAGTATACCAGGAAAAGTATACGGTAGAGTTATAATTTAAAGAATTAGAGGTAAGACAGAATGTAGAATTGCGGATGAGCAAGGAGGCTTCAGAGTGGGTAGGGGATGTGTAGATCAAGTGTTTACATTGAAACATATATGTGAACAGTATTTAGATAAAGGTAGGGAAGTTTTTATTGCATTTATGGATTTAGAAAAGGCATATGATAGAGTGGATAGAGGAGCAATGTGGCAGATGTTGCAAGTTTATGGAATAGGTGGTAAGTTACTAAATGCTGTAAAGAGCTTTTATGAGGATAGTGAGGCTCAGGTTAGGGTGTGTAGAAGAGAGGGAGACTACTTCCCGGTAAAAGTAGTCTTAGACAGGGATGTGTAATGTCACCATGGTTGTTTAATATATTTATAGATGGGGTTGTAAAAGAAGTAAATGCTAGGGTGTTCGGGAGAGGGGTGGGATTAAATTATGGGGAATCAAATTCAAAATGGGAATTGACACAGTTACTTTTTGCTGATGATACTGTGCTTATGGGAGATTCTAAAGAAAAATTGCAAAGGTTAGTGGATGAGTTTGAGAATGTGTGTAAAGGTAGAAAGTTGAAAGTGAACATAGAAAAGAGTAAGGTGATGAGGGTATCAAATGATTTAGATGAAGAAAAATTGGATATCAAATTGGGGAGGAGGAGTATGGAAGAAGTGAATGTTTTCAGATACTTGGGAGTTGACGTGTCGGCGGATGGATTTATGAAGGATGAGGTTAATCATAGAATTGATGAGGAAAAAAGGTGAGTGGTGCGTTGAGGTATATGTGGAGTCAAAAAACGTTATCTATGGAGGCAAAGAAGGGAATGTATGAAAGTATAGTAGTACCAACACTCTTATATGGATGTGAAGCTTGGGTGGTAAATGCAGCAGCGAGGAGACGGTTGGAAGCAGTGGAGATGTCCTGTCTAAGGGCAATGTGTGGTGTAAATATTATGCAGAAAATTCGGAGTGTGGAAATTAGGAGAAGGTGTGGAGTTAATAAAAGCATTAGTCAGAGGGCAGAAGAGGGGTTGTTGAGGTGGTTTGGTCATTTAGAGAGAATGGATCAAAGTAGAATGACATGGAAAGCATATAAATCTGTAGGGGAAGGAAAGAGGGGTAGGGGTCGTCCTCGAAAGGGTTGAAAAGAGGGGGTAAAGGAGGTTTTGTGGGCGAGGGGCTTGGACTTCCAGCAAGCGTGCATGAGCGTGTTAGATAGGGTGAATGGAGACGAATGATACTTGGGACCTGACATCTGTTGGAGTGTGAGCAGGGTAATATTTAGTGAAGGGATTCAGGGAAACCGGTTATTTTCTTATAGTCGGACTTGAGTCCTGGAAATGGGAAGTACAATGCCTGCACTTTAAAGGAGGGGTTTGGGATATTGGCAGTTTGGAGGGATATGTTGTGTATCTTTATACGTATATGCTTCTAAACTGTTGTATTCTGAGCACCTCTGCAAAAGCAGTGATAATGTGTGAGTGTGGTGAAAGTGTTGAATGATGATGAAAGTATTTTCTTTTTGGGGATTTTCTTTCTTTTTTGGGTCACCCTGCCTCGGTGGGAGACGACCAACTTGTTGAAAAAAAAAAAAAAATGTTAGATAAGAGTGAGTGGAGACAGATGGTTTTTGGGACCTGATGAGTTGTTGGAGTGTGAGCAAGGTAATATTTTGTGAAGGGATTCAGGGAAACTGGTTATCAGGACTTGAGTCCTGGAGATAGGAAGTACGATGCATGCACTTTAAAGGAGGGGTTTGGGATATTGGCTGTTTGGAGTGATTATCTAAACTGTTCTGAGTGCCTCTGCAAAGGTGAAAGTGTTGAATGATGGTGAAAGTGTTTCTTTTATGGGTCACCTAGCCTCGGTGGGAGATGGCCGATGTGTTAAAAAAAAAAAAACTATTTTAACAATACAATTTATTTCATGGTTATAGTTTAAATATACTATAACTACTGCAGGCATTGTCTGACCCTTATTGCTTTAGTGCTTCCTCATGAACATAACAGCTATACCATAATTTATAGTTAATGCAATATGCACTAGTACCCAGCTAATTTTGGTCTCAAAGTGTACTAGAAATAAAGCGATTTATTTTTATAAATTAATCATAAAATTGCATTTGGCTGGGAATCCCAAAATTCCTGACAGTCTAGACATCACCCAGGCTGTTTGAAAATCATAGTGGTGTTTAGGCCCTCAGTTTGGTAGTCAGGTCAAATATTTTGATCCCTGGCTTGTGGAATATATTGTCCAGGTCACCATGGTCTTTCCATGTGATTTTTGTTGTTGGAGTTGTGTAAGCATATGTTATGTGAATGTGGGTCCCTTACTGTTCCTAAGTTTTGTGAATGACATGCCCATCAGTGTCAAGTGTAAGCTTCTGTTGTATGCAAATGACAGTGCTCTTTTAGTGTCAGGTAGAGACCCACAAGATATAGCTAATGCACTATCACTAGAACTAGAGTCCTTCAGCAAACGGTTAGTAGACAACAAAATTATCGTTTTACCTCGGGAAAACAGAAGCCATACTCTTTAGCACGAAAAATAAACTGAAAAGGGTAAATAATTTTAATGTTCAGTGTAATGGGGAACCCATCACTTCAGTATCTTCAGTGAAATATCTGGGAATTCCCTTTGACCCATGCATGTCAGGAGAATTGATAGGGAACAGTGTAGTAAAGAAAGCAAATGCCAGACTAAAGTTCCTCTACAGACAGACACAGTGTCTGCCTTCTGAGGCTCGCAGGACATTATGTCTAACTCTTATACAATGCCATATAACAGGGCTGCTCAACTACTATGACCAAAGGTCCACTTGGACAAGGACCAGTGTATGCTACGGTCTGGATACCAATGTACCAATATATGCAAAGTTCAGGTTACATATGAATTACCATTGAATGGAAGAAAATATCACTATTTAGCTATGCTAAAATACTGTATTCCATTCAGTGTATGCATTCCATTCAGATAGAATAATGTATTTATCCTGCTTTTGTGTACCACCTGATCCTGAATGTGGTAACAGCTGTTATTTAACTAAGCTTTCTCCTGAAGCCTGAGGTCCAACTAGAACACTGAGAAGGTCTGGATTTGGACCATGTAATGCCAGTTGAGTAGCCCTGCCATATAGGTTACCCTTGCTCTTCATGGCATTCTGCCTTAACAAAAAAAAAAAAAAAAACTGGAAGATAGATTACAAATCACCCAAAACAAAATGGTGAGATTCATCGTGGACCTGGGTCCAAGAGAGCATGTAAGCCAGTATGGATTACAACAACTAGATATGCTGAATGTTGAAGACATAGTAAAACAACTGAAGTTCAATCACGTTTATAAAATTGCTTACAAGCAAAGTCCAGAATATCTTGCTGCCAGGTTAGTCAAGGCTGGGAACCAAAGCAAGTATAGTACAGTGGACCCCCGCATAACGATCACCTCCCAATGCGACCAATTATGTAAGTGTATTTATGTAAGTGCGTTTGTACGTGTATGTTTGGGGGTCTGAAATGGACTAATCTACTTCACAATACAGTGGACCCCCGGTTAACGATATTTTTTCACTCCAGAAGTATGTTCAAGTGCCAGTACTGACCGAATTTGTTCCCATAAGGAATATTGTGAAGTAGATTAGTCCATTTCAGACCCCCAAACATACACGTACAAACGCACTTACATAAATACACTTACATAATAGGTCGCATTCGGAGGTGATCGTTATGCGGGGGTCCACTGTATTCCTTATGGGAACAAATTCGGTCAGTACTGGCACCTGAACATACTTCTGGAATGAAAAAATATCGTTAACCGGGGGTCCACTGTACTTGGGGAAGGGTTAGTTAGTTAAATGTCTTTATTATGCACCCCATACCCATGGCGGTAGTCGAAAGATTACAGAGGTACATAATGGGTCCAGGGACTGGGCCCCACAGGTAAAGGGAACACAACTTTGTAGTACTCACAGTACTTTTTATTGTACAGCAATGAAGGGAGTGGAATGGACTGTGTCACATGTCAAGCCTGTCATAGCATGAGCCAATTCAGGAAGAATGCTCAAAGGTACTTAATGAATGAAACTACAGAAAGGGAGGAGAGTGATTTCTTGTACAGTTAACATACAGGTACCTGTTACTGTAACATTCATTCCTCTAACTGTGATCTGATCCTCTCTTTATTGTTAATGTAAAAAACTCAGTTTTCCTTATTCCTAGTTCTGGCATGCTAAGAGTATTTTACATTTTATTCGGCATATGTCACACACCCATAGAAGCATACCTCCCGACCAGCTAACTAGGTGCTAAGGGTTTAATGAGCAGGGGCCCCATCATTACACCAGTACCTTGGTTCAACCAGCCAATCACAAGGAAGCCCGCCAAAGTTATGAAGCGATGTGGTACACTCGCAAAGCGGATTTGACAGAAATACCTTCGTAGGTGGTCACTACAGTTCTCGCCGTGTCTTGTGGTTGCATTCGCTTCATTGTACATAGCTATAAATACTGTACATAAGCTATACACATATTGTAAATATCAGCTTGTTTTGGTGAAGGAGATACAATAATTTTCTCTCTGCTGCCTTTTTGCTCGCTCCTAAGTGGTTA